ATAGTTTGAACGTTCGTTCGTCTTGGCTCAAAGCCACTTGCTGCAAACTTTTCTTCGCGGAAGCTTTGCGTTAAACAAGCGAGATAACGAAATATTTAATCTCTAATTAATATTTTTTGTCCAGTTAGTTTTGGTACTGAGGTAAAAGTTACCTTGCATTCACTATATAACAGTGGGTGCTGGTCACGAAGATGACGAGCAAATTTGAGGCGTTTCCCCCTTTCGCAGCGACTTTCTTCTTGCAAGATCGGCAGACAGGGGTGACCGTCCTCGATTAAATTGCCTTCAGGACTCTTGTAAAAGCCAAAATACGACCAGACCACCGATTTGGTTCTCTTAGATGGCTGAAAAATCTCCCGAGCGCTGTCACTGCCTTCCGCCATTTCGTCTCGTGCAAAAAACATCAACAACAACAACACTGCATGCTGCTTCTGCGTCAGACTGATGCTGGCTGGACAGGATTAAGCGCGATAATCAAATACGGTTTTGATGATGATTAAATTTTAAATGATAATACTAACCGTCAGCGCATTTTATCGTGATGTACCGTGAAACCGGTAATCGTTCCATCCCCACATCACACACCTGACGAAAAACTAAAAAATATTTTCTAGTAATTTTACAGGCCTTATATTTGTATTTAAATGTTGTAATGAGCAATTCATTCCTGTAACTTTACCTGTGGACCAGATTTGTAATGTGCATTGATTACAGTTTCTTAAGAACTCTTTCGAAGCAAAAAGTGTGCAGAAGTTATCTGCATCTCGTGCTGCTTCAAGCCTCTCGCATAACAGCAGTCATCGTTCAGATTAATGCACAGCTCAGACTAACTCTACATCATGGGTAAGACACTCCATTAAAATATACGGCAATTATTCCCTCATAAATAAGTCTCTCAGTGAGTAAAACTTGCTGTGTCTATATTATTATATACTACACAACATTATATTATTTTGCAAGTTAATGTTTAAATTATATTGTCCCTGGTTCAGTAGTACTCTTGTTAAAATAGTACCAGTGTCTCGAACAGACTATAAGTATGATTTCTGCTTTAAAAGTCGCACTCTAATCCTGATTACATGAAATAAACTGCTCCCGAGCAGGTTTAAGCTAACTGACACACACACACACACGATGCGCAAAACTCTGCATTTGAACAGTCAATAGCAAATACTTAAACTAATAACAAAACAGCAGCTGATTCAGAAGCGCCAGATTGTCATAGCAAAGTCAGAATGACCTCCTCTCCTAGGTTCACGAAACGGTCGTCCATAAAATGCATTGCTGTTCTGTTGTAAGTGATCTTAAAGATTCCTAAATGCATCTACTTCCGGAAGGCCAAATAAAGTGCTTTTGCTTTCGTCTAGAAACACACAGCGTCTCCCTGACATGCTGCTTCAACACTAACTGCGGTTACTGAAACCACGCCTTCTTTCTCTGCGTGCACATTTGGGCGCATTATGCTAATATTTCCACATAGTGAGGTAGATATGTGGGGGCGTGTTAGAACGAGCCGTTTTAGGGGGGCGTGGCAGAGTCTTAACTTTGATAAAGAATATCTCTTTAGTTTTGAGACTTTAGTCTTTGCAACTTCAGGGATCTTATCTATGCACAATCAGCTTGTAACACTCCAAAGAGAAAGGAGAACTTGAAATCGCATCACATGACCCCTTTAAACACGACTACGGGACATTTATTAAATGGATTTCATGTAAGGCACCACGGGATAGTTCGCGCTGAATCGCAAGGAGACGTAGATATTAACATATTTACAGTAGGAAATTTACAAAATATCTTCATGGAACATGATCTTTACTTAATATCCTAATGATTTTTGGCATAAAAGAAAAATGGATAATTTTGACCCATACATTGTTGCTATTGCTACAAATATACCCCAGCGACTTAAAGGGTTAGTTGATGAAAATTAGGCTGTGTTTTACTCACCCCCGAGGCATCCTAGGTGTATATGACTTTCTTCTTTCAGATGAATCCAGTCGGAGTTATATTAAAAAGTGTCCTGGCTATTCCAAGCTCTATCATTGCAGTCAGCGGGTGTTGCAGTGCTTCAGTCCAAAAGAAGTGAAATAAAAAGCGCCCATCCAAAAAAAAAAACCCGCTGACCTCATACGTCATCCGCCCCGAACTGCTTCTGTTTACAACAGTGAGCGCAAGCTAGATTAAAGTGATTATTACGTTTTAAATATGGTTATTTTTCTTACAAAAATTAATCAATTCGCTACAGGAGGCCTTTGTTCACCCCCCGGAGCCGTGTGAGACACTTTTTTTTTTTACGGATGGACGCTTTTTATTTCACTTCTTTTGGACTGAAGCACTGCAACACCCCCAGGACAATTTTACTGGATTCGTCTGAAAGAAGAAAGTCATGCCTGAAGTAAGCACCCCGAGAATGACTCCCACCTACCTGTAGAGGGGCGACCTTAACCAAATGCCAGCCACAGGATTTCATCCAATGTGCCTCTCTGAAAGTAAGCTAACATTAGCTACAGTTTGCTTGCAACAACCTAGCCAACATTTGGTTGGAGACCAAATATGACGCAGGAAAAAAAAGGAGGCGGTGACTGGAGACACGATTCCATCTAGTCAATTATATACACTTTCCGCTGCCCATTGATAGGGCAACTGTTGAACAGACTCGCCAACCACATGCAGGCAGGAAGAACTTCATTAGACCTGCCAGAGTTTAATTTTCTAATAAAAGATCATACTTTCTTACATGAGTTGTTACATTTAAATATCTCTTAGCAGATTTTGTCTCCAATATGAAACTACCTGCTAATTGCACTCACAATTGCATAAAATAGCCTTGTTGTCTAGTTTGGGTGAGTAAGGGCAAAGCACACAAGATGTAGTACCTTCAATGCCCTGTAGACTTATTTTACTCTGTAAACTACTTTTGTAGCAGAAATAAACTGTTGCAGAAAAAGTTAGGTGCCATGCAAAACTCATCAAGTAATTGCATTACCCTTCACAAATGTATTGGAGTAAAAAGTACATGTACTTATTCAGAAATGTAGTCAAGTAGAAAGTAAAAAAGTTGCTATTATCATTGATACTCAGTACAATCGTTTTGGCTGATTTGTAGTTTTACTAATTACATTTACTCAAATACTTTACAACACTGTTATGAATAAGCGTGACCAAAGTGACAGAATCCTGAAAATTGATACTTAGAAGTCATTATATACAAGCAGCCCTGAAACAAATCAGCTTATATATATGTGTGTGTGTGTGGACCTGACTACTCAATTGATCTAACATCACTAGAAGAGAAATCTAGCCATGAGTAGATGCCCAAAGCAGGTCATGTGTTTAATTTATTCATCTTGTTTCACCTTAGGTCTGATGACACTGAAAGAGGAGAGTGAAGTTCTCAACGAAACGGATGAGAAATATAAGCTTGAGAAACATCACGAGTTCATACCTGAAGAAAAACCGTTTAGTTGCTCACAGGCTGAAAAGACTTCACGAAAAAGAGCTCAAAAGACAAGAAGCTGTGAAAAGAAGCATTTTACCTGTCAACAGTGTGAGAAAAGTTTTAACCTAAAAGGAGACCTTATCAGACACCGGAGAGTTCACACTGGAGAAAAGCTGTTTCCCTGCCGAAGGTGTGGTGTAAGTTTTACTCAAAAAGGAAGCCTTATCAGGCACACACGAATTTTCATTTGGCAGACGCTTTTATCCAAAGCAAATTACAGTTGAGGAAAACAACAAGCGATTCATCATAAGATGGCAATAAACATGAGAAGTGCCTGTTATACAAGTTTTCAGTCATCGTTCAAAACCATAATCTAGAATATTAAGTAAGGGATAATGTACATCCAGCAGGTTGTTATCGCAGAATAACCCCCGACAGGGTGATCAGGACCCCGAAGGGTTACACCTAACGAACATCTGTTGTGTTGCTGAATGAAGGGTATCTGTTAATGTTGGGGTGGGCAATTAATTTTCCCAAGGGGCCACATGAGAAACTGGGGTGGTTGTTGAGGACTGGACCAATACACTTGTGATGAGTGGAGCAGGGCCGAGAGCCGTGGGAACGGAGCGAGGCCGGTGAAGTAAATGATAATGCGCCACTCACCGGTCTCGAGTCCCACGGAGGAGCTCCGGAAGGATAAAACTCCTTTTTAAGTGACGAGAGAGGACCAGGCCTGGATTTGATGTTGTTGTTTTGTTTCTGTTTGCGCTATTTTATGTTTTGTGTGTTATTTTATTATTAAAGTTTTGTTTAAATATTCGCCTGTTCCCGCCTTCCTCCCGATCTACAAACTGTGTTACAACATTTAACTCAGTTCTGCCCAATATATTACATCTCTTTATATAAAAAACAGTAAGTGAAAGATTACAATGAAAATGTAAAATCTAATGAACGTTTCAAAAGCTAGCATTACAACTTTAGACAAAAAGCAAGTATTTCAAAGACTAGCATCACATTAACTTTATATAAAAAAGCAATAAATGCCCCAGTGTTGTTTGTTTGATTGTTTTACCTGGGTTTACTTTTCTTGTTAAGTGAGAGCAGACAGCTCTGCATGCAGTACTCGAATCGCTCTCGTGGTACTTTGATGTGATTCACCGATCCGTCTGTGCAGTGCTGCTTTAAGTCGAACACACCTAATATGTACTCATATTTTCATCGCTTTGAATGCTGTCTGTATCCCACCTTCTCACGCGCCATGATTGGTCGATTGTGTACAATGCCAGCACATTATTGGTCAAACTACTTTTCGTTCATTACCTTCAGCAAGTAGGAAAACAAAGCCAAAACCTGGATATTTTAGACGATACATGAATCCAGGTCAGGACGTGTCCAGGAAAAAAAGGACATATGGTCACCCTAATGCTGTATAGTAGGGATGTGTTTGATTTTGGACACAGCGCAAGACTTGTTAGGTCAGATAAAGGAAACATCTAAACTGCTTCGGTGTGTGAATAGGGTTGGAAAGCATTACGACTCTATGCTCTGTCAGTGTTTCCCAATCCTAGTTCTTTAATACCTCCAACTCTTTCTCTCTTTTCTGACTCACCCATTTGAGTTTCTGAGATGTCTGTACTAATAAGCTAACGAGTTAAATCAGGTGGGCTTGATTAGGTTGACATCTAAAATGTACAGTGCAGTGTCTAGGACCAGGGTTGTGAAACACCATTATGCGTGTATTGATCAGTGTTTATGTTACGACTTTGGTCCTGGAGGGCCACTGTCCTGCCAAGTTGAGCTCCAACCCTGTTTGATTAGGGTTGGAGCTAGTGTTAATTTCGTTAATGAAATCTATGACGAATAATGGTCGTCAACTAAGTTTTTCCCCCTGATGAAAACGAGACTATAATAAGGTCATTAAACGATGACTGAGACTAAATGAACATGCAGTATTGTTGACGAAAAAAGACGAGACTAAAATGCAGTTAAAAGAACAAAAACTTAACCAAAACACTTTTATTCTTGTTGAAAAAAGTGGAGCCAAAACACTTCAGACTGCTGTACAAGACTGTATTATGCGAGCGTTCGTGTTTGTCAGGGATCTCGACTATTGTTTGCTGATTGTAACGTTACTTACACATCCTCTGTGTGGCAATAAGTCTTTGTTGCTATTGTTTTAATCACTTAAAGTAATCAATAAAACTGGGATAGCAATACATCCCCAGAAAAATGTATAAATCAAGCAATTATTTATCAGTATGTAGATAAATAGTTTAATATGGAAGCATATAGGTAGCGAATTTCAATTTAAAATGCAATATTCAAAATGGCAATGTATTTCTGTTTTTGTAGAATTTCCATTTTCCATTACCCACACATGCAAAGTTCGTTGCAAAAAGAAAATGAAATTGTATAATTTACATTTGCCATTTCCAACAGTAGTCTTAATATGTAAATTGCATAAAAATTTTAACGCTTTATAAGTTGCAAAATGAAAATATATAACACAAATTGATTCGATATGTGTAACATGTCCAAGCAGAAATGGTAGCAAAATTATCATTGAAATGCCATTTGTCCTAAATGCATTTAAACTAACAGAACACTTTGGATTACATTTTCATCATGACGCCCTGGGATATATGTAGCAAAATTCAGTGCGGCTTTGAAAATGCATTCCGAGCTGACCACGCCCATCCTCCGTCAAATCATTGCTTCAAGGCGGGGATTGGCGGAAACGTGTTACGTTTGGATCGTTCGAAACATGGTGGCTCGAGATCTGATAAGACCGTTGAATTCACTGGCAGATAAAGTGGAGAGTGAACAGAGAAATATATTAAGCATACTATGAGCATACTCCATGCTAAAATCAAACGTTCGAACGACCGACCGAACGTCTTGAGCGTCTTACACTGCGGGTGACCCACGTGACGTCAGCGTCTTGAAATTAGCTGGTTTTTAAACATTTAAGGAGCCAAGCTGCTGTGTAAAGACTATAAATGGACATTACAATAAAGATATTTTATACCTAAACTAATACTCTGCATCCTGATGTACTTCCCTGAATAAGTCTTTAAAGGTGTTGTAGGCTATGAGTAACTGGGTAACTTGCTCGTTCTGAGTAATAAATTGAAAAAGCTTCCACCTGTATATGACTAAACTAAATAACATGGAGTTTACTTGAGGTTCTGCTATAAATGTGTCTAGCTCGTTTGGCAACTCAAAGTTTCAGATCCCTCCACAGATTTTCTGTAGGATTGTGGTCTGGAGACTGTCTAGGCCACTCCATGACCTTAATGTGCTTCTTCTTGAGCCACTCCTTTGTTGCCTTGGCGGTATGTTTCGGGTCATTGTCATGCTGGAAGACCCATCCATGACCCATCTTCAGTGTTCTGGCTGAGGGAAGGAGGTTCTCGTCCAAGATT